CAGGGGAAGCCCCACCCTAATGGCCCTCTGAGGGACCTCCTCGGGCTCTCTTGGCCCGTCTCGGGGCGGCCCCTGGCCTCAGGAGAAAAGGTCCTGGGCGCCAGAGAGGGCCCTGGGACCTTCACGGGTTGAAGGCTGCTGGGCTGGGGCCCCAGACCCGTTTTAGGCGAGAATCGCCCCGCCGTGAATGGCAACGGCATCCTCCCCAAGGGTTATGCGGTCTCTCTCCCAGCCCTTGGCAGCTGGTCGTGCCGCCGGTCCTTGGGGCTGGCCTCCCGCCAATCTTAGAGGGGCGTGACCCCCGCTGGTTCATACATCCAAAGATAGAGAGAGGGAGGGATGGAGAGATATTTAGAGAGAGAGAGAGAGAGAGAGAACAAAAAAAAGAGAGAGAGAGAGAGGAACAAAAAACAAAAAACAAAAGCCTGGCGAAGGACCCAACCATATGCAGTTGTGAATACCGCAATTGTGCTGGGTGGTGGCGGACGCATGCGGGCGGTGCCAGTGGGACCTTCGGTGGAGCCCCCCTTACGGGGCCACGAAGCGCTGTACTGGGTGGGTGAAACGCGGGGAGCAAGGGCTGTGCTGCGTGGTGGCGGACGCATGCGGGCGGTGCCACTGGGACCTTCGGTGGAGCTCCCTATGGGACCACGAAACGCTGTAATGGGTGGGTGAAACGCAGTGAGCAAGGGCTGTGCAGGGTGGTGGCGGACGCATGCGGGCGGTGCCATTGGGACCTTCGGTGGAGTTCCCGATGGGGCTACGAAGCGCTGTTCTGGGTGGGTGAAACGCAGGGAGCAAGGGCTGTGTTCTGGGTGGTGGTGGACGCATGCGGGCGGTGCCACTGGGACCTTCGGTGGAGCCCCCTATGGGGCCACAAAACGTGCGAGGGGTGTGCCAAAATGGGGTGCGGAACCGCATGCCAGCGCAGCCACTGGGGCCTTCGGTGGAGCTCCCTATGGGGCCACGAAGCGTGTGAGGGGTGTGCCGACATGGGGGGTGGAACCGCATGCGAGCGCAGCCACTGCGGCGTTCGGAGGACCTCCCCATGGGGCCACGAAACGTGTGAGGGGCGTGCCGAAAAAGGGGGGTGGAACCGCATGCGAGCGCAGCCACTGGGGCCTTCGGTGGAGCTCTCTATGGGGTCACGAAACGTGTGAGGGGTGTGCCGAAATTGGGGGGGGGAACCGCATGCCAGCGCAGCCACTGGGGCCTTCGGTGGAGCTCCCTATGGAGCCACGAAGCGTGTGAGGGGTGTGCCGAAATGGGCGGTGGAACCGCATGCGAGCGCAGTCACTGGAGCGTTCGGTGGAGCTCCCTATGGGGCCACGAAACGTGTGAGGGGTGTGCCAAAATGGGGGGTGGAACCGCATGCCAGCGCAGCCACTGGGGCCTTCAGTGGAGCTCTCCATGGGGCCACGAAACGTGTGAGGGGTGTGCCAGGATCGGGGGTGGAACCGCATGCCAGCGCAGCCACTGGGGCCTTCGGTGGAGCTCTTTATGGGGCACACGAAACGCGTGAGGGGTGTGCCGAAATGGGGGGTGGAACCGCATGCGAACGCAGCCACTGGGGCCTTCGGTGGAGCTCCCTATGGGGCCACGAAACTGCGAGGGGGTGCCAGAATGGGGGGGTGGAACCGCATGCGAGCGCATCAGTGGAGCTCCCTATGGCCACGAAACGTGTGAGGGGTGTGCCAGAATGGGGGGTGGGAGGGGGAGGAGGGAGGAGGGGAGGAGGAGGAGGGAGGAGAGGAGGAACGCGGGGCACCGTCTCTTCAAAACGAGGACCCAACACCACAGGATGGTTGGGAGAAAAAATCCTGGCGAAGGTCCCAACCATATGCATTTGTAGGTACCGAAATTGTGAATATCTGCTTCGGTGAAGCTCCCTATGGGGCCACGAAGCGCTGCACTGGGCGGGGGGAACGCTGTACTGTGTGGGTGGTGTGCCGAATTGGGTTTCTGGGCCGCATGCGGACGGTTCCACTGAGGGTTTCGGTGGAGCTCCCTATGGGGCCACGAAGCGCTCTACTGAGCGAGTGAAAATGCCGAACTGAGTTTCCGGGACGCATGCGGACGGTCCCACTGGGGGCTTCGCTGGAGCGCCCTATGGGGCCACGAAGCGCTGCACTGCGCGGTTGAAAATGCCAAATTACATTTCCCGGACGCATGCGGCAAGTGAAAATGCCAAATTGTGCTTCCGGGACGCATGCGGACGGGGGCACTGGGGCCTTCGGTGGAGTTCCCTATGGGCCACGAAGCGCTGTACTGGGAGTACGGGACGCATGCGGACGGTAGCGCTAGGGGCCACGAAACGCTGTACTGGGCGTGCGGGACGCATGCGGACGGTAGCACTGGGACCTTCGGTGGGGTTCCCCATGGGGCCACGAAGCGCCGAAGCGCTGTACTGGATGGGTGAAACGCAGGGAGGAGGGGGAGGAGGGCCACGAAACGCTGTACTGGGTGTGCGGGACGCATGCGGACGGTAGCGCTGAGACCTTCGGTGGAGTTCCCTCAGGGGCCACGAAACGATGTACTGGGTGTGCGGGACGCATGCGGACGGTAGCACTGGGACCTACGGTGGGGCTCCCTATGGGGCCACGAAACGCTGTACTGGGTGGGTGAAACGCAGGGAGGAGGGGGAGGAGGGCCACGAAACGCTGTACTGGGTGTGCGGGACGCATGCGGGCGGCAGCACTGGGACCTACGGTGGAGCTCCCTCAGGGGCTACGAAACGCTGTACTGGATGTGCGGGACGCATGCGGACGGTAGCATTGGGACCTTCGGTGGGGCTCCCTATGGGGCCACGAAACGCTGTACTGGGTGGGTGAAACGCAGGGAGGAGGGGGAGGAGGGCCACGACACGCTGTACCGGGTGTGCGGGACGCATGCGGGCGGTAGCACTGGGACCTTCGGTGGAGCTTCCTATGGGGCAACGAAACGCTGTACTGGGTGTGCGGGACGCATGCGGACGGTAGCATTGGGACCTTCGGTGGGGCTCCCTATGGGGCCACGAAACGCTGTAGTGGGTGGGTGAAACGCAAGGAGGAAGGGGAGGAGGGCCACGAAACGCTGCACTGGGAGTGCGGGGCGCATGCAGACGGTAGCAGTGGAGCTCCCTATGGGGCCACGAAGCGCTGTACTGGGTGCGCGGGACGCATGCGGACGGTAGCACTGGGACCTTCGGTGGGGCTCCCTACCTATGGGCCACGAAACGCTGTACTGGGTGGGTGAAACGCAGGGAGGAGGGGGAGGAGGGCCACGAAACGCTGTGCTGGATGTGCGGGACGCATGCGGACGGTAGCGCTGAGACCTTCCGTGGAGATCCCTATGGGGCCACGAAGCGCTGTACTGGGTGTGCGGGGAGGCCGAGGGGCCTCAGGAACCCTCCTCCCCCCGACAGGGCAGGGCCCCCCCGACGCGAGACAGGCGTGCTTGCCGCCAAACGTGGGGAAGTGCCGCGCACCGACACAGGTGACGGCGTACGCGGGTTCCTTCCCTGCCTGCCCCGTCAGCCACACGAGTTCAGCCCCAACCGTCCCGAAGCCGGAGCAAGCGAGAGCCTCACCCCCTGGCGGGGGAGAGCCCACACGTCCGACGAGGTGATTTCTAAGAGTGCGGCCCCATGCAGACCCCGGCACCTTCCCCCGGGGTAATCTTGCGTCCTGGCTCCCCTTGGTGATGGCCCCGGGGCCCAACAACAGTCCCTCGGGGGACGCAGACCAGAAAAAAACACACGGAACGAAAAGCCACCGTCCGAAATCTGGGGGGAGGGTGGGGCGGGACCCCACCCAAATCGCGACGGGGGTGTTTGGGCTGTTTTTGGCCTCTGAGGGCCTTTGCCGTTCGCCAGGACCGTTACCAGGGACGAATAGCCGGCCACGTGGAAAAAGTCCACTCCTGTCAGGGTCGTTAGGCGTCTGAAAGAAAAAACAAAAAAAACTGGGAGTTCTGGAGAGGCGGTGCGGCGCGGAAGGCCTGCCGGGGAAGGACGACTTTGCAGCAGCGGCCCGTTCGGCCGCCGCGCCTGCCCGCGCCGCGGCGCGGCCCGCGGCCGCCCTCTCGCAGCAGCCAGCCCGCGGCGCGCCCCGCCTACAGCCCGCGCAGCAGCATGCCCCTCCGGCCGGTGCCGGCGTGCCCCTCGGCGGCGCCGCGCCCGCCGCCGGCGCAGCCCCCCGCAGACGGCTGGCAGGGCCCGCCTGGAGCCGCCCAGGCGGCCGCCGCGCCTGGCGGCCGCCGCAGAGCCGCGCCCGGCGAGGCCGCCGCGCTCGGCGGCCGCCGAGGCGCCGCCGAGCCCGAGGCCTCCGCGCACGGCGGGCGCCTCGAGGCCCCCGCACTCGCGGCGGCCGGCCCGCCCCGCCCGCGGGGGCGGCCGCGCTCCTCGAGGCCGCGCCCGGCGCCCACGATGACTCCGCCGCCGCCGCGGGCGGCGGCCGCCTCCCGCTGGCTGCCGCCGCGGGCGGCCCGCGCGCGGTCAGCGCCGCCGCCGGCGGCCGCCGCCCGCTGGCCGCGGCTGGCGCGGGCGGGGAGGCGAGCCCGCCGGCGGCCGGGGCGGCGAGGCCGCTGGCCGCCAGGGCGGGCGCCGAGGCGGCAGTGCCGACGGCCGCACGGAAGGCCAGGCCCATCGCACGGTTCTCGTCGGCGGCGCCGTCCGCGGCGACCGCCTCGGCCGCTGCGGCCCTCGCCCTGCGGGGCGGCCTCTCGCGCCGCCCGGCGCCTCGGGTGAGCGCGGCCCACGTCCGCACGAGGCCCCGCGGCGGCTGCTCGCGCTCGGCCTCGCAGGGCTCTGCTCGCGGGGGGCCCTGGCTGATGACGCTCACCTGCTCGGCTTCACGCACGAGCGATCCTGGGCGAGAGTGATCTTTGGTGCGCGGCCTGCTGGCCGTCACGTGCGGTGCAACAGTGGCGGCCTGCGTGCTTGGGCTTGGCCCCGCAGCGCCCTGAGAAAGCCACGCACCAAAGGTCACTCCAACGAAGGATAACTCTCACGTGCAGCCAGCCTGCTCGCAGAAGGACACCCTGGGCGCGGGGCCCCGGGCCTGCTGGCTGCTGCCTCTGCGCTTCAGCGCCGGCGTCAGACCGATCGTCCTCGTGGTGACGACGCGCCAGGTCCTCACCTTCTGCGACCCGCCCCCCTCGGCGACGACCAGGGTCTCCTGGCAAAGGTTCGGGCCTGGAAGGCTCAGCAGGTGAGAGCCCGAAAACAGAGAAGCGCTCTGGCGAATACCACATCATATCGTATATCCGACCATGTCATGCCATAGCATAGCATGTCATGCCATACCATATCATAATATAGCATAACATAACATAACACACCATACCATCACATATCAGGTCAGTCATGTCATGTCAAACATATAACAGAATGGAACATAATATGGTGCACTACAATAAAATGCTATATGATATGGTACTGCTACGCTAACATGGTGTGCGTTATGATGTGAATTGATATGGTATGCGGTACAATGATGTGGTACGCTATGCTACTAGCTTTCATAGTATCATAGCATTAAAAGCGTGCACGGCGACTGCCCACAAACATATCATATCATAATGTAGCCCAATAAAAGATAATATCATCTATATATACACACATGTAAGATGTAATAGACTTCGTTGTGATACAAAACTATGACTAAATGTAAGATGGTATGATCATACATTAACGTACAATGCACCAGCCTATAATGCACAATGTAATACCAAAACGCCGTACATTATATTACACAGTAGTCTGATACACTAGAGTACAAGATAATCGACTGTACTATAGTACGAAAAAACAAGCCGATGCAATGCAGTACAAAACCATATAAGACACTGCAATACAATACACTATGCTATGCCAGTGTAGAACACTTCAATGTATGACAATATACCAAAGTGTATTATAACATACCCGAAAATACTGCAACCAAAAATTACACTTAAATATATCACACGATAGCATGATACACTATAAAGAACTTGACAATTATATGTGCAACAGTGAAATATGATACAATGGACATAGCATCAGACAAAATATATAACGTGCGTCCGCGAGACTCGGTTGTACACAATGTACATGATATCGTAACAGTAACTGATACATAATATCACGCAACTACATAATATCATGAAATCTGCTACAATGTACATAAGATCCTACAACTACACAAAACAATTATGTACATACGCTTATACAACATATCGTAAAAGTGTCTCTAACTCGGTTCATCCAGGTAGCCCAAATAGCCCGAGTAGCCAAAGCTGTGAGAATGTCTCGAGCGGTGGCGCCAGAGTTGTGCAGATGTCTCGAGTGGCCCGAGTAGCCCAAGTAGAGGGTTGACCCAACTAGCCCAATTAGCCCAAGTAGCCAAACTTGTGAAGATGTCTTCAGCGGCGGCGCCAGAGTTGTGAGGATGTCCCGGGCGGCCCAAGTAGCCCCAGTAGAGGGTTTGAGCGACGGTGCCCGAGTTGTGAGGATGCCTCCATCGCAGGCGCCCAAGTTGTGAGGATGCCTCGAGCGGCGCTGTCCGAGTTGTGAGGATGCCCCGAGCGGAGACGCGCGGGTTGAGTCAGGTCTAGCAGGACATTACATTATGATGCGTGGCCGAGGTGGCACTCCAGCGCTCCGAGCGAGACGCCGCTTCGGGTCAAGACGGCAGCGGAATCAACGAATCAGACGAGGTGGAAAGCGCAAGAAGCAAAAGTCGCCCCGAGGCCCCTGGTGACGATTTTCTGGCCCAAGTAAATCGTCGCCCCAACTAGCCAAAGTAGCCAAAGTTGCGAGGATGGCTCGAGCGGCCCAAGTAGCCTAAGTAGAGGGTTGACCAAGTAGCCCAAGTAGCGCGAGTAGCCAAAGCTGTGAGGGTGTCTCGAGCGGCGGCGCCAGAGTTGTCAGGATGTCCCGGGCGGCCCAAGCAGCCCAAGTAGGGGATTGACCCAAGTAACCCAAGTAGCCAAAGCAGCTAGTTGCCAGGATGTCTCGAGCGGCGGCGCCAGAGTTGTGAGGATGTCTCGAGCGGCCCAAGTAGCACAAGTAGAGGGCTGACTCAAGTAGCCCAAGTAGCCCATGCAGTCAGAGTTGTGAGGATGTCTCGAGCGACGGCGTGCGAGTTTCGAGGATGTCTCGAGCGGCCCTTTTAGCCCAAGTAGAGGGTTGATCCAAGTAGCCCAAGTAGCCCAAGTATCCACAGTTGTGAGGGTGTTTCAAGCGGCGGTGCCAGAGTTGTAAGGATGCCTCGAGCGGCCCAAGCAGCCCAAGTAGAGAGTTGACCGAGGTAGCCCAAGTAGCCAAAGTTGTGAGAATGCCTCGAGCGGTGACGCCAGAGTTGTGAGAATGCCTCGAGCTTCTTGGGCTACTTGGGTCAAACCCTTGGGCTACTTGGGCTACCATGGCTATTTGGGCTACGTGGGCTACTTGCGTCAAGCCCTCTACTTGGGCTACTTGGGTGACTTGGGCTATGTGGGTCAACCCACTTTCAGGACTTTCAGGGCCCCAGGTAGCCCGAGTAGCCAGAGTTGTGAGGATGTCTCGAGCGGCGGCGCCAGAGTTGTGAGGATGTCTCGAACGGCCCTTTTAGCCCAAGTAGAGGATTGACCCAAGTAGCCCAAGTAGCCCACTTAGCCAAAATTGTGAGGGTGTCGCAAGCGGCGGTGCCAGAGTTGTGAGGATGTCTCGAGCTACTTGGGCTAATTGGGTCAAACCCTCGGGCTACTTGGGTTACTTGGGCTACTTGGGTCAAGCCCTCTACTTGGGCTACTTGGGCTACTTGGGCTACTCGGGTCAACCCACTTTCAGGACCCCAAGTAGCCCAAGTAGCCCGAGTTGCGAGGAGGTCTCGAGCGGCAGCGCACGAGATGTGAGGATGTCTCGAGAGGACCAAGGAGCCCAAGTAGAGAATTGTAGCCAAAGCTGTAAGGCGATCTCGAGCGGCGGCACCAGAGTTGTGAGGATGTCTCAAGCGGCCCAAGTAGCCCAAGTAGAGGATTGATCCAAGTAGCCCAAGTAGCCAAAGTGGTGAGGATGTCTCGAGCGGCGGCGCCAGAGTTGTGAGGATGTCTCGAGCTACTTGGGCTACTTGGGTCAAACCCTTGGGCTACTTGGGCTACTTGGGCTACTTGGGTCAAACCCTCTACTTGGGCTACTTGGGCTACCTGGGCTACTTGCGCTACTTGGATCAACCCACTTTCAAGACACGCCTGGCGGATGCAATGCAAACTATAGAATAGGATATACCAGAATATATTAGACTCTGGAATTAAAAAACAGAACGAATATTATGTAAGTCCACGACAGACGGCATGATGTGACATATACTTCAATACTATATCATATCACAATATATGAGATCAAGGTTTGTCATGGAAAAACATGACACAGCATTGCATGCCATGCCCGATCGAATCACATCATAACAGGCCATGCCGTACCATGTGCCATATCATATCATATCATATCATACCATATCATACCATATCCTATGATACCATTTCCTATCATACCATATCATATATGAAAATAGATGCCAGAACATGCTGTACCAAGCCATGCCATATCAGATCATTCCATGCCATCACATAATAGATCATATCATGGCACGTCATGCCATACCACACCGGTCGTTCACAACAGCCTGCAATTGTCTACCCCCTCGGCCATGAGGGAAGGGGGTCCTGAGGCAAACGGGTCCAGGAACCCAGAATTCTCCCCATGATCAGCCGAGCCATTACGTGGCGGTTCCGGAGCCAGGAAGATCCGAAAACGGTGACAACCAAGAATAAGACACCCGTTCCCTCAGGACCAGTGTTCGTCGTGGCGACCTCTCCTCCTCCTCCTCCTCCTCCTCCTCCCCCAAGCACTGCCTGTAGCTCTCTCGCGACAGATCCTGGAAATCTTTGAACGCCAACTCGCCCCGAACGAAGTCCTCCCCCAACTCTCGACTCCTGTCTTCCCTCCACCTCCTCACCGTCCTCCTCCTCCTCTTCCTCGTCATCCTTCGCCTCGTCCTCCTTAGCGGCATCATTATCCTCCTCCTCCTCATCAGCATCATTACCATCATCATCATCATCATCATCATCATCATCATCATCAGCAGCAGCAGCAGCAGCATCGAGATCTTTTACCCCTTCACCAGCATCATCATCAGCAGCAGCATCACCATCGTCAACTGCAACACCATCATCCTCAACATCATAATCAGCATCACCATCCTCATGCATCATCAGCAGCATCAGCATCATCATCCTCATCCTCGTCACCATCATCATCATCATCAGCAGCAGCAGCAGCAGCATCACCATCATCATCATCAGAATCATCATCATCATCATCAACAGCACAACCATCCTGATCATCAAGATCATCATCACCATCATCATCATCATCATCATCATCATCGTCATCATCCATAGCAGAAGCATCATCATCATCATCATCATTATCACCATCATCATCATGATCAGCATCAACATCACCATCAGCACCATCATCACCAATATCATCATCTGCAGCATCAGCGTCATCCTCATCGTCATCCTCAGCATCACCAGCAACAGCAGCAGAAATCAGCATTCACATCATCAGCAGCATCATCTTCAGCAGCAGCATCAGCAGCATCAGCATGAGCATCAGCATCAGCATCATCATCATAATCATCATCATCTCTCCACCATCATCCTCATCATCACCCTCGTCCTCGTCATCGTCTTCGTCCCCATCCTCATCCTCACCCCCATCCTCTTCATGATCTTCCACCTCCTCGTCCTCCGTTCCTCTCCTCTCCTCTCCTCTCCCCTCCCCTCCCCTGCTCCCCCTCCTCTCCCCTCCTGTCCGCCTCTGTCTACGCCTCTGTCTCGGACTCTTTTTCCGCCTCTGTATCATTTCATTTCATTTCATACCGCAGCGACGGGGGCCGGAGCACCGCGCGACCGCGCGCGCCGCCCCAGCGCGCCCCCCCGCGCGCGGCCCGCTCAGGTCGCAGCCGCCCCTGCGCTCCCGGGGCAGGGCCGCGGGGCCGACCCCGTCTCGGGAAGGGTCTTTCACCCCCGTCGTGGGTCGGCCCAGGCACCACCGCGGGCAACGGCGCCCTGGCCTCGCGGCCAGTGCGACCCCTCCCCGACCGGCACCTCAGAGGGCAAAAAGGGAGGGGCGGCGCAGCGGGCG